AACGGGAGTTGTTAAATTTCGCGGGTTCGGAGGGTCCGGTTGTCATAATTTTCTTTTTTATGTTGGTATACATGCCCCCGAAGTATGATAAAAACTTTAGCTGTTTTCATTGTTTACTTTGCCTGTGGCAGCCGCTAAGGTTACACTGAAAGAAATATATGTTTGTTTTAGCAATGTATGTGGACTACCACATAAAATATATTTACCTTAACCATTTTTATATTTAGTTTTAACATATTATGTTAAAACTAAATATAATATATGTTTGTTTTAGCAATGTATGTGGTAGTCCATATATGAACCACATAAAATTGCTAAAACAAGCATATATTTCTTTCAGTGTAGACGTTCGGCGATTTTTCGTTCGTTAAAAGAAATGCATCAAAGAATTGGTATCCAATTTTGCTTAAAAAATGAAATAAATTCTGTGAAATGTTAACAAAGGCCTATAGTGAGTCTGCTATAAGTAAAACAAGAGTTTACAAGTGGTATAAGAGTTTTCAAGATGGCCGTGAAGACGTTGAAGATGACGAACGCCCCGAACGCACAAGCACATTAACAACCGATAAAAACATGGAAAAAGTGAAAGAAATGGTTATAAACCATCAGAGAAGTCGCAGATGATGTTGGTATATCGATTGGCTCATCCCATGAAATTTTTTCGAATGTTTTGGGAATGAAACGCGTGGCAGCAAAATTTGTTCTAAAATTGTTAAATTTTGAATAAAATTTTTGGCCAAAAACAATACTGTAATGATGCCCCAGCCTCCATATTCGCCAAACATGCCTCTGTCTGACTTTTTCCTATTCCCAAAAATAAAGAGAATCTTAAAGGGCCGTCGTTTTGCAAGCATAGATGACATTAAAAGCGCATCGCTGAAAGAACTAAAGGCTATCCCAAAGATCGAGTTTTAGAAGTGTTTTGAGTATTGGAAAAAGAGCTGACACATGTGCATAATATCCAATGGGGACTATTTTGAAGGCGACAACCTTAATGTAGACGAATAAATAAATATTTGTTTCAAAAAACCTAAATTCCCGATATTTTCTGAACACACCTCGTACTTGAAGAAAAAAGTTCTTAGTAGAAGAAGTATAGTTCTTTTGAAAACAAATATAAAATCTCTTTAATGTTTCTTCTTTCAACCAAGTGCAAAGTTTTTGTTTAAAAGCTATGAAAATTATTCATATTTTCGCAATTCATTCAAGATACATCTCAATTATCCCAATAGCATGTCAATTTTCTAACAAAATCTTGTAGCTTCTGATACATGGGAGAGGATGTTAAATCATATTTATGTTAGTTTATTGGTGTTAGTATAAAAAACTTGCGCTTTTGTTGATATCAAACAATAAATGTCTTATTTTATTTAAATATTTTTTTGTAATCCTTTTTTTAGTCAATTATCTAGTTTTCAACGATGCCAATATTTAGGCTTAAACTCCCCTCACTACGAAGGTCCTTTATTTTAATTGTTAAATGCATGTTTTAATAATTAAAATCAAAAGGCCCATGTGGTGAGAGGAATTTAATCTTAAGTACCAACAACCCTGGTAGTTTCAGTGAAGATCGGAAGCTTTTGAATAAAGCAATACATACTATTGTACCAAGAGATATTTGCTCTAAAATCAAAATAAAATGTGGTTAGGTCAATAGTATATGCTTTTGTAGCAATACAAATTTTCTTTCTTTAAAAGTTCCTAAGCTTTCCAATTAAGAGATGCAGTTTTCTTGTTAAAATTCCATTTTTTGCGCTTCATTCAAAAGAGAAATATCTTCCGAAGGAATATTTTTGGTTCTTGTAACAAGAAATCGCTTGCTCTTGATTTAAGCTAATATTGTAATATTCTTCAACGAATAGATTAATCTCTTCCCTCAAATTGTTTAAAAAAAATTATGTAAAGATAGTTTCTGATTAAGATTAAGACACATAGCTCTTGGCCATATTCAAAAGCGCAAATCTTTTCAATCAAAGTATTTCATGAAGACCGAAGTACAAGCACACAGGAGTATGATAAAGTATTAGCTGTAAAAGTAAATAGTCTTAGGACACTCTCTTAAGTAAATATGCTTTAATAAGGGTATAAATTACATTCCAAAATAAGGCAAAGTGAGTCACATGTGTCACTGGGGTCAGAACTACTTCTTGCTTGTTTCAAAACTTCCTGACAAATGTTGAAAAATGTCACCCGAACAAATTCAAAATCTTTTAAAAGATACCGTAACATCGTGTGGCAACTGTGGCAGCGGTTAATAGTATAAACCTGCCAATAAGAAATAAACCATCAATTGATAAACTTGATTGTTTCGTGACGCTGGTAATTGCAATCGACTTTTTCTACCAATAACGAAATTGAAGGTATAGAAGAGGTACCTATTACGGCATCGTGAAGAACACGAAAATCCGTAGTCCGACCAACAATTCATTAGTTCATTGTTGATTTTACCTCTAGTCTCTTCGTCTCATCGGAATTCAATTGAGCTCAAATTAAAAATCTTCGATCTTCGAGGTGTTCTTCGATTACCCGTAATTGCAACAAGCGCAATCATATTAATAATTTTAATTTAAACTGTGCAGTAATAATGAACTCATTGCAACTAGCCTGAGAGCACCGCACTGCCATTTTGCAATACAATATTGGTGGTGCAATGTTTGCTTAAACTTATCTATCGGTTTATAAAAATCGTCATGGTCAACATTGATTAATGGAGGAATAATTATGTAGCAGCAAATCAATGTTAGCTTGACGTTGCAAAATTTTCATGTTTATAAAAGAGATAAAAGGACATTCGTTTTTGTTGTTAAAAATGTATACCATGCAAAAATCTTGATGAAGAAGAAAACAAAGAACAAATTTCTTAAAAAGAGAGATTGAAACTGTCGATTTGCGTAGGCAAATTAATTAATTGAATATCCCGATCAAACAATTCGATCTTGCCAATTACAAAATAAATGTAGCGTCACAGGTGCAATTAGATCGGGTTAATTGGGTAGTTAGGCCTCTGCCGCAACCCCATACAACGCACCGTCAACAGAATGCACCGACTAAATGGATACAAAATTATTAATGGAATCAAATATATTAAATATCAAACATATCAATGCTGAAATTTTAAATTTTGTAAAAGTGTCTTCTTCTGGTCATTGCTTCTTTTTCTGTTCAATACTAAAACACCAAACTGCAAAGAGAAATTTTAAAGTGTCTGTTTTACCTTCTTCAATCAGTTACATCATTTCTTTGATGCATTGTATCGCTGATTATTTAATTGATTTATAGCTGGTCTAGTGTACAAGGTATTTTAACATTACTGTACTTTAATTCAACAATGTTTAAACCATTTGTAAGAAATGTATCATTTAGTGATGCAATACTATTTGATATATTGTGTATTAACCAATAAAATCTTCAAATTGCTTGCTGCTTGCTCAAGTCTTCTAAATTGTGTGGTCTGTTGATTTAAGGTAGCCCCATAAGTCTGAGAATCCACCTCTCAGGAAAACTTGCGTATAGTGAGAATGTGCCCCGTCCTATTGAAACAATTTCAACAAGTTGATAGATCGGGACCTCCATTCTCATTGGAAAAAATTTTTTTGCTAATGTGGACAGAAAAGAGTTTTGCAAATATTCCAAAAACGTTTCTCCTGTCATATTCTCGTCAAAGAAGATCCGATATTCCACTGCCCAGACATTCACTTTTTGCCGGTATTGGAAATTTTCCTCTACTACCCAATGAGGATTTTCTCTGCTCCAGTATCTACAATTTTGACGGTTGACTGTACCATTCAAACAGAAGTTAGCTTCGTCCAAAAAAAGTATTTTACGAGGAGAGTGTGGATTATTGTTACATAAATTCATCATAGTTTCACAAAATTGTAGTCTACGGTCCGGATCATCTTCGTTAAGTTCCTGCACTAGTCTAATTTTGTATGGATGGATGGATTTTCTTTCTTCATAAGATGTTATACTGAGCGTTGGGTGACTTGACTTTCAACTGCGACTAGGCTAAAAGCACTGTAAGAATGTTTTTTCACACGTAAAATGTCAATTTTAGGGTCTTCACTAATACTCGGAATGGAATATCTTTGACATGTCCAGACTCACTGAATTTCCGTTCAATTTTACTAACCGTAGCACAAGTAATAAATCCTGAGAGTTAAAACGTCAATTCTCTGTGTTTCCGTTATATGGCCCATATTTAAATACTTCGAAATATTTGGAGAACGCATAAGAGACAGATTATTATATGCAATAATTACATGCTAACAAAGAGATAAAAAATAAAAAACTTCCATATATAAACAATAATACACTGTATATTCCAAAATTGAATCTTCTGCTGGTTCAAGGTTCATTTCATCCTGTGTTTTCTGTGCAAGGCCTTGTTCGGGGCTAATTGCCCCCTTATTAACATATCGGTAAGATTGGAGTAGCCGAGTCGTAGCTGAGGTGTGTCCCGTTGTCCCAGTTCGTGTAGTGTGTTATTAATATTTCGCGTTACACGATCTTCCGCAGGAATGCCGCGCAGGACGCATTTTTAACGCGCCGAGCTTTACCGTTCCTATGCCATCGATGTAGGTACCTACTGCCTAGCCGTAGCTATGTAGCTGTAGAGGCGGCCGCTCGAAAAACAAAAATCCGAGTGAAATTTGTAGGGTGTGCGTGATCGCAAGTACAGCCAGTGCTGTTTCTAGAACCAACCTTTGCAACTCTCACAATATGCTATTTCCTTGAATAAGTACTTGTTTATCAGGATCATACATTTTATCTACGCTACATATTTTTGGTAATTCAGGAGTAGCTTTTTCCAATTTGTTAAACAGTAGATTACGAAGATAAAGTTTAAGGTCTATCAGTAAGGTTTTACTTTTCAAAAGAGGAAGACCTCAATAAAATTTATCAAACCATTCATCACTATAAGACAAGATGCAATGGGGAAATTTTTTGGTGAAAATAAAATCATGAAATGCTTTATCCTTCGGAACAACACTTTTTGGTAGATAGCGGCAGCAAGTCTAGTGACCTAAGTCGTTACCGTCGACCTGTCACGCCCCCTGTTATGCAACCGTTGCACTCTGTGTCAACATAGTAGAACCTATCAATCAAGTTTGAATATTACAAACTATCGGGGGCGGGCCTGATTTTTTAGTAGAGTTGAAATAATGACATTTCAAGACATGTGAAGATGGAGTTTTTATATGAAGAAATGAGTAAAGTTGAGTAAGGATAGTGAATTTTCTTCTGGAAAAATTCCTTTAAGAGACTTTGATGAGGAACCACCAAATGGAAAAAGCAAAAAGCTTTTTGGTTAATTAACTTATAACTTATGTAGATGCTACACGTAAAGAAATTTGTTGTAAAAATCAATTTAAATTTATGAATCTTCTTTACGAATGCCAGAGGGACGTTTTTTGGTATGCCAAGACAAAACACACTAATAACATTGAGTCGACCAATCAGAAAAGGATTTTTTTACTATAAACAACTTGATTTAAAACTACCCCATTTGCACACATTTTTCACACAACTTCTTTTCATGTTTGGGTGCAATATTACCACACATTTTTTACAACAATATTGTAGCACCTTGATATAAATATCTTCATCAAGAAGAAATATCAAATTTTCCTGAAGCTTTTTGGTTTATTGAAGACATTAAAATCATATCGATAACTAATGAAGTAGCTTACGAGAAGGCAATGTTGCGTTCTATTTTACAGGCACTTAACACCTAAGCAAAAAACGAAAAATATATTGCGTCCGTTAAGATACCATTACAAAGATTATAGCAGAAATTAAACTACTTATCCTTCTCACATTAAAAGTGCGTTTAATTTACTCGCTTAGTATTTACAGCGCCATAAACGTAACTTTACAATTAATTTTTTCGGCATTCGCTGTAGATTAATTTATCACTCACGATTCCGAGCCGCCCACCAGTTTTGCAACCAGTGACACTCGTAATTTGAATTTTACAGAGCTTAATTGATCTAAAGTAAAATTTTTATTTGGGTATACTTAATTAAATTGCACTTTGGCATAGTTGCACAGTAAAAAAATATTTGTTTATTTTAACCATTTATTAACCAGATTTTATGTTAACTAATTGAATAACTAGTTTGAAATTTTCAAAAAGGACCTTATTTTTACAAACCTTTTTGTTGACCGAGTAACAAAAGTATTTGTTGGAATTTGGAAAATTAATTAAAACGAATTTTGGTAAAAATGTTGCTTTATTAAACAATTTCCTAAACAAATATCTATCAGTACTACTATAATACTTACAGATATATTTCGTAACTTGAACCCACTTCACTGTATCCCCTAATTTTAGTTTGAAAACCAGTGATGTCATCTTTTTTTGGATACTTCGCACACTCGTTAAATAGGTATAGGGAATCCGATTTCTGTAAATATTGTAGCGAGTACCCCTCTGGATCTCGGAATGATGACTCATCGCCGGTGAGTCAGCGCTCGAACAATCGAGAGCGGTCATGAGCTCGCTGGAATATTCGGGAACGCACGTAGGCACTGAATATATAAGAAACGGCGCAGCATGGAGCAGTCAGTCAAGTTTTGGTACTCGCGACGAAATAAATAAATATACGTGCAAATAAATCGACTCTTGAACAGAAGTGATATACAAATAATTAGTAGTTAAGTGTTTAGTTAGTAATTAAGTTATAAAATAAATAGTTTACTTCGTTAATTAACCAGTGCGTGTTTTTATTCACACTACGAACAGTAAAAAACGTTACAATATATTATAAGCACTCTGAGACAGTTGTTACGAATACGTTATGAATTAGAATAAAGTAAGCAGAAACATAAGTTGCAAACGCTGAAGTCAGTTGAACAATCTTGTTGATGCGTATTATCAGTGGGAAATATTTTGATTGACTGTCTGAAATCACGTGTACTTTTTCAATGAAATAATTTGTTAACCATTAACAAAATAATCTGTAACCTTTGAAATTAACAAAATGCTTACAAAATATTTTCCTTTGTTAAAATAATTACAAACCCTGGTTTTCTACAAAAAAATGTGTTAAAATTTTACAAAATAAAACTACCAACATAAATTGAAAAACACAGGCCCACAGTTGGGCGCCAATTTGAAATATCCTCGATCCCATCACCGATTTGAAACATATCATTGTGTTCACGATCGATCCGTAATTATAGATCTACTGAATTCGTGTAAGACGGGCCCATTCGCCAATCCATGATACAATACGAAATACAAATTGGTTTTGTTTCTCGACCGCGCTAATAATTAAAATTATTGTGCTAAAATTATTTTAATTATAGATAAACGATTATTTATTGTTTGATCTAGATCCTGCATTTGGAAAAATTTGAAGCCATTAGAATTATTTTTTCCAAATCCAGTATTGTCGATCAATTTCATAATAGGATTACAAGCAATCTCACCTGTCAGTTGGATTTTTATTCGATTAAAAAAACAAATGCTCGAATCATTAGATTTTTAATTAAGATAGCGTTCATTCATTTCGACGTTAAGATAAAACATTGAGCAATTCTTTTTGTTTCTTTGCAATGCGACCGTCTTATTGTTTTCAATTTACTGTTGTGTATCTTGACAAGAGTTTAATCGAATTAGGTATCCTTTTTGAAAAACGATTTGACAACTTCAATTCGCTGCGGGACGTTGTTCAACGATGTTCGATATGTAATTTGAAGCAGTTATATAAATATCGGGAAAATGCAATCCTTCATACGCAACCGATAATCATTTTGTCTGTAGTCTCCCAGTCCAGTTAAAGCACAGCATAGCGGAGGTATCAACGATGTAGGTAAAAGAGGTAATAGATAAATTGAGATGTTACCGATTTTTTCATATGGTAATTTATCGCAAAACGCCTAGAATCATTTAGATAACCATGCACCAATTTAGTCGTAAATCAAAGTCTTACTTTCATTCGAAGAGTCCCATAAGGTCAGCCAAAACTGCAAAAATATTATTAAAGAATTTCACTATGAAATTGCAAGGAAGAAATTTTCAAAGCTGCCTCTATCAAAATTAAAAGTTCAGATAAAAACCACAACCAAAACTTTCTGACCTTGTCGGAACCATTTAGTTAAAAAGAAGTTAATATTTGATGGTTTTTGGTTTATTGTACCCTTTATATAATTATTAATTAATTATTTTAACTTAACAAATATGACTTACATAAATAAATCTGTATTGAGACTAATTTTTCTATGCATATATAAAAACTGCAAAACCATCACTTTTTTAACCAGTTTCTTAATTAACGTTAATTTACCAGCAAGTTAAAATAAATTTGCATGGTAAAATATAATTTGTTGGTTAAAAATATATTTCCAAATTAACCAAAGCAGTGGTTAATTTTCCAAAAAGTTATGTCAAAAGTTAAACTAAACCAAAATATGTCTAAAAAATAACTATTTTCAAAGGTTAAAATTAGAAGTTAATATAACGTTATGTAACTTCTAAAATAACTTACGTTTTAACTTATTAGTAATATTACCAATAGGTTTCTTTTATTATACTAAAAAAACCTTTGAATTTCCCTTAAGGTTATAGCAAACGCTTGGTAAATTTAAAGGTATAATTTTTAGTTTATAGTAACCTTAAAAAATGTTACTTAGATTTTGGTTAATTTACTTAGAATTTATATTTAACCAGTTTTGCTTCTTGGGATGTTTTTAAGTTTAATCCGTGGAGTATTTAGTAACATTTCCAAATTGAAATATTACCCAGTCTTGGAGAATGATCGACTCAATTTATTAACTAGTGTTTGTGTAGGTTGAGAATTAAAGATTCCACTCAAATGTGTTAACCATTCTATTTGCATTTGATAATTGAGAAACCTAATGGCCTTTACAGTAAGTCAATTTGTTTGAAATGATATTTGTCAGTCTCTGCGATATTTAAATTTATTCTTATAATTAACATATCAACTTTAAACCTATCAATATAATTATTATTTATCGAACTCATTGATCTAGGAGCTTCTGTTGGTATGTAATCAAGTATTTTTTGCGTAGCATGCATAATTAATACGGACAAAGTCTTTAAGAGCTACCGAATTACATATACTTTGTTACTGAATTGGTCATTATGAAAACGTCAGCATTCAAAATGTTGATTGATGAAGTCGCGGCTTTTTTTATCTAAAGCAAACAGCAGATGGAGATCTTCGGTAGGCCATATGATGTTTGGGTAGAAAGGGAAAGGATATGTTTCGGCAAAAACAACCGATTGTTAAGTAATCCTTGTTCATCACGATCATCTGTCATTAGTGTGGTATAAATGAATCAATACAAATAAAGTGAGAATTCAACTTGCACAACGATTTGAAATGGATAATTTTAGATTTACACAAAGAGAAAGAATGCAATAATTTATGGTAACAGCTATTAGCATAAATTAAACTCCATACTAATGATATGGTATGATTTATACCGCGATGATCAATGATTTTATTTTGGCACACAACACAACAGAGAATTCTTTTCTTCTCTCGTTATCTCCATACCATACCTATTCCGCATTGTTACGATACTCCGACCCAAGCTATTTTCATACGCTTAACGGTATCCTAACGTGAATCTTAATGACAGTATTGTGAATTTGTTAAGAACGCAAAAAACAAAATTAGTTTACCTACGGGCGAGCCGATTAAATCAAATTTGAAATATTCCGGATCGGATGAAAGATGATTTGGAAGAAAGCGTGAATCAAACGTCAAATATCTGTGGTGTAATGAGTAATCTTAAAATGGTGTCAAAATCCAATACCAAGTGGTGTTAATATAAACACCATGAATTATGGTTGAAAATGTTAGATACAGCAAACACCAAAACGGTGTTTATCTAAAAATTTTTGAGAAGTGCACCTACACAGAAAAAAAAGAATAGTTCATTTAACTATATTAATTTAGTTGACCCATAAGTATTTATTTAAATCAACTGTGGGAAGGTTAATGTAAACAAAGATTAGTTTGACGGTACTAAGTTTACTAAATATGTTGTTTGTAAAATAAGATTTACTTCAACCTAAAGCACTCTGTTAAAACGATTAAAACAATTTGCCGTGCA